ATATATATACCACATTCAATGCTTGAGATTAGATGGAATCAACTCAACCATACCACGTACCTTAATACTAACTTTTGAACCAAACGTGGTGAACGCTTTGCTAGCACTCTTGATAGCATCATTCAATTGCTCGGGGGTTGCAGAGGGACATTGCAATAACTCCTTCCCAGTGGCTGGGTTCAGGACAGTAAACGTGCTGCCGCCTTTGAGCAGTTTGCCGCCGATTAGCAAACGCAGCAGAGGAGGGTGTGCCATAAAACGCGATGCTGAATTAACCACTCCAGCTGGCATAATTTCTACTGATGATACAGAAGCTATATTATCGTTGAGTGTGATGCACTGTACTGCGAGGCTTTTGTATATATGAAGAACCAAACTCGATAATGGTTTAACTCTCCGGCCCAGAGGTAAATCAACGCATTGTTATAGAATTAAACCCTAAAACCCTATAGACTTTAAACCCTAAAACCCTATAGGCATTAAACCCTAAAACCCTAAAGGCATCCATAAAAAGTCGGCACAATAAAACGCCCCAAGCAGTAAACGTTGAATGTAAACGGGAAAATGATAATACGTTTTGACGTAAAAATATGTGTGTTATAATATGCATGTAAATATTGTCGCTGCTAAATTGCTCACTCGAGATATCCTCTCGATAGAACTATTCAGATAGAACGTTGAGTCCCAAACGCAAGAACGAGTGATTTTAAAACGTTTTAACGAGAAACGGACCGAGGTGGCGGCAAAGAGGGGTCATCACGCATAGCCTCTTGTCTTTTTAGAGGGCTATGCTGTGATTGCTGTCCCCTAAGTCTAACTCCCTATGCATCGTGATGGCTTTATCTGATTCATTCAGGATTTCACCTGGCTATGGAGACAGTACAAGTGTACAGTGTTGAGATAAATAAAAACAAACAAATGTTTCAAATTATATAAATATTTGATGTTTTTTTATAAATAAAAATAAAGTAAAATAGGGTACATGTACAGAGAGAAAGGATACAACTTCGCCGTGGCCCTTTGAGCTGTGAGGGCATGTAAAATAAATATAAAATAATACATAAATAAAATAAATACAAATTTGCCAAACCCAATAAATAAATACATAAATATTTTAATCTGATAAGCTTTTAGGGTTCTAGGGTATGAATTTGCGGCCCAGTTTTTATATTCATGATGTACACCGCAGTCAAACACCCAACGCGCTATGTAAATAGTATTTCGCATTCTAATTGACCTGTTCTCCGATCTTTTGCGCTTTTGATTTTAATTCAGCCACTCTGGAATTCAGTTAGATAGATGAAAATATTTTCAATGTTAGAAGTATGGTATTTTTAAAAGAATGTCAGGCACCGAGAAGTGTCAGCAGCGTCGAATTCTAGTATCAAAGCCATACGCTGTTGTTGTGCTTATGTGACGCATTGAGGGTGTTGTGAAATATAATATTTAGTATAAGGCATCACATTTGATGCCGTGTAGTGGACCACATCCAAAAGAATGGAATTAAGTACATATATGTCGCGAATAAACGAACACATTCTCAAGAAAATTGACAACATTATGAGGATGCTGTCAAGTAGAGATCAGGAAAAAGATCTGGGATGGCGAAAAAAACAAGAGAATACTCGTGTGATGGGCGGCAGAGGATATGCACATACTAGCACTAAAACAGCATTTTAAATCAATGATTCCAGTCAGCTGTATAGAACGAATCGATGCTTTAGCGTCCTGTCAAACTGCTCACTCCCTACAAATCGGCCAGCGCGACAATCGGCACTGGAGTTACCGAACTATTAATAAATACTGTAGATGCAGGCAGTACCAACTACCACCAGTGAATACGATAAAAGTAATTGGGCAGATTTGTGTCCAGCTCAGTAATGCCAATCGAGGGACGGGAAAATACCATACATACAGCCGTAGACAATATCCCATAATTTGTTGAAACTGCTCCTAGTAGCGGTCTCCTAGTAGCGGTTGGTTGTTGACCAGCCCGCACTCAAGGGACTCAACGCGTGTCAAAGAGTGCATGCGTCAGGAGTGTTATGTATTTATTCTGAGGTCGCGTTAAACTAAACCACTATATAACATCACATTCTAACTGTCGTTGATACCTAAAGCTTCTTGAAATTATAATAACAATGTTGCATCTCACGCCTGTCCCAACAAACAAATCCAAGTGTAATCGAGAGGTCTACGCTACTCGCTTATACCGATCAGGCATTGGCGTGTTCACCACGCAGTTTCAGACTGTGAAAGAATCTAGATTGCTATTTTAATACTGTGACGATTTGAAAAGGCACGTTTTAAGAAACTACCCCCAGAGGAGTTTCGTACGTTATATATTAAGAACACCCAATCAAGAGGAAGCGGAGATGATTCAGATGGCAACCCATCACATGGTCATTGATTTTATATTTTATGTAGCGTCATAGATCATGAAAGCATGGTACATATTTCCAAGTACTCTGTGAGGTCACATATTTATAAAAGCAGACGACCGCCCTCCTGATGCAAACAATAACACATCGCGAAATGCATTTTAATATCACTTTTCGATATTTCTTCTTCTTCTTGTTCAAGTTTTAGACGGCGGCAATGGTTGAGGGGTGGATAGCAGCTCCTTCAAGATGGGGTCCAGTGTCAGGTCACAGTAGTAGTGACTCGCCTTGACATTTTCCATCCTGTGGTTCGGTACGATACATGCAAAAGCCTGTCAGTTCACGAGTCGGATTTCTATATCATGTTAAATCTGTGCTTGAACAGACAGGTAGGTACCTTTGGGTTTCAAAGCCGGGATTTTTTTGTTTGGTAGAGGTACAAGGCCGCGCGTCAGTTATTTGCGACAAATAATTTAGACATAGATGCTGCCAAACACTGTATGCATCCAAACCATTCTATAAATAGAAAAGATCCAAACCATTCTATAAATAGAAAAAGATTGACCGAATCTGAACAGTGGGAACCAGGAGGAAAGATGCGATCGTACAGAAACTTCACATTCTCTTGTGCAGATGTAAAACCAGATAGACATACTTCATAAGATATTCGGCATACTCTCGGTACACCCTTCGTACCAAACTTTTGCGGTGGGTCTCAGGTGTTTGCTCGTTCAACTCTGTAGTAGGAAGGGTAGAAGGGACTTGTCAGGTGCCGGCCACAGATATACACAGTACACTTACTAAGTAAGGCGAATACTCTACTAATATATACGCGGCCTGGTATATGAGACGCACAACCAATGTGACCACATACGCAACAGAAAGTGCAATGTATCGCATAGATGCTTTCAGTGCACGGTTGCCACTACGAACGAGAGGTTTATTTCACTGAGGCGGACAAGAAAGGAAGTACTGATACAAAGGTATGCTGCAGATATATAGTATACTCAACGGTGAGGGTGACAGAAAAAGGATTTCTGACAATATATCGTACCGAAGTATTGTAACATACCAGTTTCATCAATAAGCTTGACATCTTCCTGCGTTAAAGTACAGTCGAGGTAGCCGTACTCTTCCAGAGAGTGCATGAAGAGACAGGCCAAAGACGGACTGTCTATTCGTAGCATTAACTCCTACAAGGTAAAAATTGAAACAATCGGTGAGTTAAAAATAGAAACAGTTGGTGAGTTAAAAATAGGAACAGTTGGTGAGTTAAAAATAGGAACAGTTGGTGAGTTAAAAACAGGAACAGTTGGTGAGTTAAAAATAGAACTACAGCTGGTTAAGTGAGCCTTCCCCGCACAGTCAGCGCGAACGCTCATTTCGGCAGGTGGATGAGATCTACGACCTGAAAATAGCTTTCACCACATAAGCACAAGCTTTCATGTTGAAACTTAGGGCATAGAATACATATAGAGCCACCTCTGATATACACAAACAGCCACACCTTACATACACCTACAACCACACCTGATATACACCTACAACCACACCTTATATACACAAACAGCCTCACCTTATATACATCTACAGCCACACCTCATATACAGCTACAGCCACATCTTATATACATCTATAGCCACAACTTGTATCCTGAATTTGTATAAACTCATGAGCAGCCTAAAGGGGCCGTGCTCTACGACTGATTACGCGTTATTGGAGCAAGTATGTACTTGAACGAAACTAATACACCCCACTCCCTCAGATGAAAAACAGGGCACCCTGTCGTTCGTCGTTCCAAGGAACCAAAATCACAACAGTGTTCCCAGGGGATGCCTGCACTCAGTGACCTAGAAGAGTATCATCTCGATCTGTACAATCCATGACACACAACAACAAGCGACGTTTCGAGGGCAATCACACAGATGCACATGACATGATCCCACAACAGAGTGCACGTAACAGAAGAGCCAAAACATCACAACAGGAGAGCCAAGGGGGACACTGTGTCCTGTGCACATGCATAGCCTCCTAGTTGATTTGTTAGGAGGCTATGGTACATACCAATTGTTGTCTGTGTACGTACCAATGTTTTGACAAAGCTGCCGAGCGACAGTGACAGCTTGACGGCCTCCACGATCCGGTTCATTCGTGGGGATGCGAGATACTCCACCTGAGGCAGGGGTTGTAATAAGGTAGGTAAGTATATGGGACAACCGACCTAAGTGCAGACTTTGATATCGAGCGCAGTGTGTTAGATACTATGAAGTACCTGGGGCAGGGGTTGTGATAAGAGGTAGGTAGGTATATGAGACAGCCAACCTAAGAGCAGACTTTAATATCGAGCACAGTGTGTGTCAGTATGCACACACGACATACATGACACGCACACACACTACATACATGACGTTGCAAGATGGCTGAGTACTCTTCCCGTGTGAGCTTTGACTTGGCGAGCATTGCGGCCTTCTCCCACATGCCGTAGGTTTGTAGGTAGTTGCAAGCGGTGGCGTATTTACCTACCCAGTGAGAATAAGACCGGCACATTATAACATATCCGAAGGTATATACATACACATATGAAATGTGGATGTGTTCCTGTACACGTTTATAGACGTGTTTACAATGGTAGATATGCATAGATATATTTTAACAGACAAGTAGATCACAGCCGGACAGCAATGACATTCACAAACAGGCGACACGGAAGACTAGTAATTACACCGGAAGAATGGCGAGAGAGGCTACTGTCTATGACGCGAGCAAACCCTGCAATACATGCATACACAAGACACACCCATATACGTAGATACATACATGCATACACAAGACACACCCACATACGTACATACATACATGCATACATAAGACACACCCACATACGTACATACATACATGCATACATAAGCACATGCATACATACGTACATACATACATGCTTACATACGACACACCCACATACTTACATACATACATGCATACATAAGACACACCCACATACGTACATACGTACATACACAAGACACACCTACATACGTACATACATACATGCATACACAAGACACACCCACATACGTACATAAATACATGTATACATAAGCACATGCATACAACGGAAGACAATGTGAAAAGGATCAGACACACCCACGCAAACCATACACAAACAAACACGGGTCTATAAAAACTAGAAACATGCATACATAGGGAAAGCAAAATGAACAGGATAAGACACACGTGTATTTGCTTGTTCATGGTAATAGAAGTACGTGCAATCCGAAGGCATGAACACACACTCTCATGCCTATACATATACGCCCACGGACATACATGGCATAATCGTGGGAGGCTAGATGCGTCTATCAATAATCACGAAGCTCACTACGAGAAATTATGGTTGTTATCTTGATCGATAGAGGCGAATCATACAATAGTATGCCTAAACCCTAACGCTAAAACCCTAAACCCTACGAGATTATAAGACAACCAGTCGATGAGTGGTGCGCTGGTCTATTGCTACATGACCGACATGCATTTGCATCGCTATATCAGGTGTTTATAGACGCGGTGTGGGTGTGGACATAACTTTTGAGGAATATTTGCGTGAATATGAAAAAGAACATCATGACATGCATAATTACGATACATACGTGTGCATAAGACATGCATATCTATGATACATACATATGCATAAGTCATGCATATCTATGATACATACTTATGCATAAGACATGCATATCTATGATACATACATATGCATAAGTCATGTACATCTATGATACATACATATGCATAAGTCATGCATATCTATGATACATACATGTGCATAGAAAATGTACATCTATGACGGATACATGTGCATAGAACATGCATATCTATGATTCACATACCTATAATACAGAGCATCTGCACTCCGTCTGTGACATGGCCGCTGGACATCATGTTGACGGCTGTCAGGGTGATGACACTCTCTCTCTGCGCCATACACAAATAATGAGATACAAATACAAGGTAAGTGAGACACATAAATGGAATACACATACAAGGTTAGTCACAAACATGGGGGTAGACGGGCTGTCTTTGTCGTCCAGTATATGAACACAAGGCATTTGCCCAAGCAGACAGCAAAGACCTGCGATTGCCTGTTGATAAAGACGGAACTATATATATATATATGTATATATATATATATATACATATACATATACATATACATATACATACATATATATATATATATATATATATATATATATATATATATACTTATATATATATATATACTTATATATACAAACATATACATACGTACATACATATACGCATACACATACACATACACATACACACACATATATATATAAGTACTCATACAAATCCACACACACACACCCACACAGATACAAAAACACCCACACACCCACATATATATATACATGCAATCTATATATATATATATATATATATATATATATATATATATATATA